CGCGGCAACGCCGAGGACAACACACACCATTTCCATTGTCGGAAGAGTCTTGCCCATCATTCTCACCAGTATCACCGTCGGCCTGATGCACTCTCCGCCGGCCCAGAAGTCGTTCCTGGTGTACATGTTTGTTGCCAATACACAATTTGTCCTGAGCCTTTTTGGAAGCGCTGTACTGTTGCTCATGATCCTTTTGAAATACGTCCACTCGCGGCGGAACCTCACAAGTTGGAACGTGCTCTACGGGAACCCGGACATGAACTCTTCGCTGCCTAGCAGCAATAACGGCGGTGGCAGCGTCAAGGCACGGTCCGTCTGGCTGGGCAGTGCCTCAAGCCGCGGTGGACGAAGTCGAGCGTACAGCGGTGCTGGCACCAATAACACATATGACAGTTGGTTGGTGATCCGACTGTCGATCGCCTTCGCAGTGCTCTGGTCAGTCACACCACGTTCGACCGGAAGGCTGCGCACACGAATGTTCTAACCTCACACTGGCACGAACGCTAACAGTTGGACATGTATATGCAGTGTGTTTGAGTACACAAACGTGATACCGCGCATCGCCGCGGCAAGCCACACCATCGACACCGCCGACAACTTGGAGCCCGACCTCAGCGTGAGACGAGCACGTTCCAGTATCAGGGGATACGTTGCCGGCGTGACACCAAGCCTGGTCGCCTTTCTCGTCTTCGGGACGACCAAGACGTTTCAATGCAAGATTCACGACACCTTTATGCCAAAGGGATTCTCGAGGCGGAATAGGCAGAAACGGAACCTGTCCCTCTCTTTGAGAGACTCGGCCGCCGCGTCCCCGCCCCATCCACCAGCTCGGCGCCCGCAGCAAGTAGACGAGTTCTCCCTCGCCGACATGAGCCCAAAGTTCCTGCAAAGCGGCACCTACAGCCCCCAATTTCCGTCTGGTGGCAACGTTAGTCCTAGGCTACCGTACGGATACCATGCAAGCCCTGGATCGAGTCTCGGCACGCCGAGGGGTGTGCTCCCGCCTAAGGCTCTCATCAACCATGCTGGACAATTTCTGAGCCAGGGGGTCAGCGCCCCCAATCCACGGACACATAGCGCTAGTTCCAGTCCGAGTCTACAGTCCAAGTTTTCAGTATACGGGCAGCCTGAGGCACGGGTCAAGGCTCTTCGTCAGACACCATACAAATAGGAGCTGGCTGCAGAGTTGGAGGGGCGGAGGGCGGTCAATTTTCTTCAAGCTTTGTAGGCAGTGCGATGGAGTTACGGGCGTTGGGATGGGGACAATATCACGCAGATACCAGGCAAGGCTCTGATGGCTGAATATCAGTAGCAAAGCAATTCATTTCTCCCGCTTTATGACCGCGTGTCCCTCATTGTAGATTTCTTGCAGTCACGGAGCGCGCAAGGTATCTAATGAACCATAAAATGTCTAACGTAGTCTGGTGGACCATCAAGCTGGCTTGAGACAAAGAGTCACCCAGATAGTGGTGGTACGAGGAGAGATATGGGATGGACTATACGTTGCGGCAACTCTCTATAAGCGCTGTGGTGCTAAAGTTGAGTATGCCTTCCAAGTCCCGGGACTCTGGCTCGAGGGTTGATGGGACCTCAATTTCGTTGACAAGTTCTCCCTCTACTAGGTTTATACACCTAATCACAGGTAGGAATACAACCGTGAGACACTTCACTTAGGACAAGGTGAGAAAGTGAATGCAATTTAAGTCTTTACTTGAGCCTTTGAGCTAGATTCAACGCCCTGACCTGTTCACACCGAACCTAATACCATACATGTTCCGACTACATTTTACTGCTGCCTCTGTCGCCCCATATTATGTTTGGCATGAATTAACTTCTTAATCATGACACCCAGCATCTATATAGAATCCTGCAGACATCGTTGCCCATCACTCAGTCGCAGTCGTCACAGAATGCGAGGCAGGCAAACTGGCAGCTGGCCCGTTGCAGAGACTCCTGTCTGCCGGGCCCATTGTAGGCTTCACTTTCGTTAGAAACACGCATGTCTCAAGTGTGTCTCCAAGAAAAGATACTCCCTATCGTGGCACTCGACAACGCAGTTATTGCAGGTTCCCTGGAACGGTGCTCCCGTGCAGGCAGCGATGACCGTGGGGGCCACCATGGCCGTGACGAAGAGGAGAGACTTGGTGAAGAGCATTGTTGGTGGTGACTCGATACTTGGGGAGTTCTTGGTTGTGAAAAGAGAGATGAGTGCGGTGAGTCTGGTGTTGTTATAATGACGGAGTGTAGCGGAACTGAACCTCATACTTATACTTGCTCTGCCCATCGATTCTTCACATCGATTATTCAAAGCCTAGCGAAAAGATCAGTCACATCACAATCAGTCCACAAGTTCGAGGTCTGGCGAAAATTCCTCACCTCCGAGTCAAAGGAATACGCATATCTCTTGGCACGCTCATAAGTGCTCCCAAATTGGCCGTCTCTTGGCGCAAGAGACACAGTCATCCCATAGTTCTGCAAATCTCTACTGTATTCAATCTCATAATATTTCCGACCCACTCCTTCAGCCTCGCGATGCCCACGCATCACAACTGATCATCAGATAAGATCACTACCCCGGTACTTCCCAACTCGCGACCCGGTACTTCATGTCCAAGCCGCCCAATTAACAGAGTCTATCGTGGACGAGAACTTTGCCGCCTAGCTGCGTGTCATGTGGGCGGTCTTGGCGGCCGAGCATAGATACCTGGTTGCTATCCACTCTACCACTGCGAGCTAGACAAAAGATCAATCCTTCGACTTCAGCTGTACAAAAGGTCCAACTCAAACCTTTCGCCAAGAGAGACTACGTCCAAAGTTCCTTGAGGGACGAGATAGCCTGTTCTTAGAACCCAAATGGATTCATAGCTACGATGACAACATCGATTTCTAGGTCTGAACCATTCACAGTTCTGACATGAGTGGGAAACAGCGTGGTTCTCTTTGGAAGACTAGAAGTGATGCCTAGCGTGGAGTCAGTCCTCAACCGTATACCAAGCAGCGTCCATACGTAATGTCCAATTATTATCATCATCGTCACTGAGTTGGTGAAACGGATTCAAACGACAAGAAATGCCAGACCTGGAAGCAAACATTCAGCTCTCCATCTCTCTTAGATCAGCAGTCAGCAACGATAATCAGACATCCTCCATCTTCGTCAGACCACTATCATAATTCACCAACCAGTCCCCAGCAAAGTCAAGCTCGGGCAGCTTAATCTCCGGATTCCTCCTGTTAATACCCCTCGCGAACAGCACCCTCGCATACACCGGATCAAACACAAACACCGTCTCCCCCGTCAAGCTATTCCTCACTTCCGCCGTCGCTTCCATCTCGTCAATAGCGATGACCTCCTCCGGCCCTACCATCACAGTCGCCCACTCGATTTGCGTTTTTATGTGCTCCGCGACGCTGGCTTCGAACCGGGTGTCGATGAAGTGCAAGCTGTTCTTGCCCGCCGCCGCGACGTAGGGGGTATCCGGCGCCACGATCTGCGGGCCGTGCCAGGTTTCGATGAAGTTTGGGATGTAGGTGCCGCGGTATTCGTCTTGGAAGGTTGGAGTGCCCTCGCATGGTCGGAAGGGGCTGAAGATCATGGTTATGAGAGGTGCGCAGAGCATACTCGGTTGATATGGGGTTTTCCGTGAGGTTTTGGGTTTCGGGGCTTGGACGATATCAGAGAATGCGTGATATTCTTACATATTGTCAGGCTGTATGCCGACTATCTTACATAGGAAATGACGCATCGTTGTACGGCAAGGTCGGAAGATGGGCCGAATACGAAAAGTCGGTCGCTTCCCATCAGCCAACAACCAACAGCCAACGACCAACACACGTCTTCGGATGAAGCGGCAAAGCTAGCGCCTTTCCACTAACCTCCTTCCGTCTTGGGCTACTTACTCTGATCTGCCTCTGGAAAGACTCTGAGATTGTTGGAGTCTTTAGAGGACGTAGGGACACTAGATGACTTTGGATGGTGGTGAGTGAGAACGTGTGTCAACAGATGTCTCTCGCTGACACCGCCCGGAGGGGCGTGGCTTTTCAGCCTTGGTCAGAGTGAGAGAATCATCGAGATCACACTTGACGGCGACCTGAACCACCGACGACTCCGCAGCGTGCAGGTATTCATGGCCGGTGACAGAGGACCGGGAGGTCACTTGATGTCCGTCTCGGAGCTCACGTCGATGACTGCGGAGGGCCTGCTAATGTATTACCTACCTTATGGTCAAGGATGTATGAATCTGTGCGTCCGTCGCATGCAATTCAGCCGCTGCGGAAGTGAGTCGTGGCGGCGGGGAACGACGGGAGTCGTCCGTGTCGTCGGACTTTAAGCCCCCAACTGCACGATTGGAGAGTAGAAAGCAACAATAAGATATCAACGACTGTCTGAAACATTACAATACTGAATTCATGTCCTCGGAGATAGCAGTCGGACTCGTTCGTGGGATGTTTCTCGGTCCAAATGCGTAGGGGATCAGACGGATCCGACACGGCGTCGCGGTGGCCTCTTTCGCCAGACCAAGTCCACAATTGCCTGCGTGATTATGACAGTGGCTAAAAGGCAGAATAAAGGACTAAGCCTAGGTCCCAACATCTAGGAATATTCGAGCAAAGATCCTCGAGATATCGCACAGTCTCCGGCCTGGGCGGCGTGCACCTCTCGGCCCGAGCCAGCAAACCGAACGAATGCGATATGGACGGAAGAGTAGCGGCCTGCTTCGTCGGACGGCCCCTACATGGCTGTAGTGGCGCCTCACTTTATTTTTGAATTGCGATCGTATCACCTGTCGCTCACCTTCAAGTGGCTGCTTTAACCCGCAGACTTTACAACTGGAGTGAGGGTGAGCAGGGTGGAAGTGGGGTTCAAGGGTTCCCTTTCGGCCCAATACGAAGGCAAAAGATACTGAATTCAGAAAGGCGCCCTAATCAGTACATTAAAGTTGAACGTCAAATCACTTCATTAACTCATGAGAGATATCACCTAGTATTCAGCCTAGCTATGTCTAGGTCTTATACCAACTCGATTCAGCTTCTCTTTGCATCTGTAATAAAGATACTGGATGAACAACCTCCGAGGGCAAGTCCAGGAGCTCGATGGCATGAGCATGAGAGTCGATGCTTGTAGTAATGAGAGGCTCTGGAATGACTTTGAGGTCATGCCTAGTATTTTGATCGGCAACCCTCTGCCAATTGCGTATCACGCTAGGTTCCAGCTTCCAATCCCATGTTCCTTGCCAGCCAATACAAGTATAACTAGACTTTGCGTGGTAGAAGAACTTAAAAGCTTCACCCTTCCGACCATTCCATAGTACCATTGTATGTAGGTGTGGAATTGAAAGTGCAGTTGTAGCAGCATTTCTTAAGAGAATCTCTATCTTGAGATTCTCTGTTTGGGTAAGTATCCTTGATGTAAGAGTTAGGAATCTCATGTGGCTCCAAACCCAGTCTTGTTGACGTGACCGGAAGAAGTCCGAAGCTTCAATCAAAAACGTAACGGAGAGCTGCTCGAGACTAAGACTCCTCTTGGCAAAAGCAGCACTGACCGTCGGTGATGTGATCCGGATTATATCAGGTGCAGTGATTGGTGAGATAGGTCGAAACGAGGTAATGTATTCTTCATTAGTCTCTTCAAACACTGATATTTTCTTCAGTGCTTTTGGTAAATGGGATTCGATAAGCTTCAGGTATTCTGTAGCGTGAGTCGTTAGTAGGTATAATATATATAGTCAAATACTATATCTTACCGGAATCCCAAATAAAATCTTGTGCCATCTTATCCAAACTTTGCCATGGCTCATAGATTAATGATTGTAACCGAGGAAGTTTATCGAATAGAAACCCTAGCACTCGAGGTTCAATCCATCTTCGACATTGTCGGCGAAGTACAAATCGTGTTACCGCTTTGACTTGAGGGAGGCCTTCCTTGAATGTGAGATGGAGAGGCTGAAATATTCGTGAAAAAGAATTTCCATTGGGGGCATCGACCTGACGTCCATTCATCCAGCCATGTTGAGAGTCGTGAAATGAGTGCTTTGAGTCGAGGTGGGATAACCGATGACCAGGCCGGTCGAATTTCAAATCCTCATCCTCGCCAATACCTCCAAAATAGAGGTTCTTAAAGCAGTGCTCCTTATCACTAGGAGACTGGATGCTCAACTCCAGGGTCAGCTCGGCTCCCTCTACCACTGGCCATTGAGACAAGATCGAAAAAAGCTTCGTAATTGCTCGTCTAGCCACGCGGCCATCTTCACAAGCCCATGAATAACTTTCTGTGGTCTGACAACTTCGACATGTATATGGCTTTAGCTCGATATTTAGCCAGATATGTCTAACAAGCTGTGCTTGTTTTACACTAATCATAGCTTCTCTATCATCTAAACAGGAAACTTGTAACTTCAGCTGGCGGAAGCTTTCCTTCTCTAGTATGGCCTGCCACTCCTTACAAACGGAAGCGCAGGCGCCCCAACCAGAAGTTTGTCGTGCAATAGTTTGAAGTATCATCTGCCGCAGTTCCCATGGTAGAGAAACCCAAGTCGCTACATGTGGCGGTATAGTGGTATGAGACTTGCAGCCCGGCGTCAGAACCGGCTGAATCGGCACCGTCATTTGGGATGTCAAGAAGGTACTAAAGGTTCAGCGGTTAGGCAATGAAAATATCGACTGAATGAAATACGGAAAAGGGAAATACCTTGAGAAGTAAACCTGCCGTAGACAATAAACGAATATGTTATCGAATTTGACCTCTTGACTTGTTTCGTCAAGTTTACGTGTGAACGTGTGAGATTAAACAAGTCACTGCTTGTCAGATGCGAGTTTAAATACTGCCATTGTCAACCCTGATAGTTGAAAACCATCGTATATCAAGGTCGACGAAAAGCTAGAGTTTATAGTTTTTAGGTTACTGTTATGGATAGGTAGAAGAGAATAATTTACGGGTTCGAAGACTACAGGGTTGCCCAAACATCTTTTAACGGCAGGGCACTACTTACTTCTGTGCATTAATTGTTTATGAACTTTCAAACAAATGGAACGACATATACAGCAATTATCATGTGGCTTTTGTGGTTGATATTGGCATCTTCGGCCCAAGTCGGCAAGAGATTGGACACGTCCGACCGGCGACGCGGGAACATGGTAGTCGACGTCGTCAGCCTTCATGTCCTCATATGGGTCGCTCTGGCATTAGTTGAAGAGCAAGAAGACCAGGAGTATTGAATTTCCCCCGAATACATCCAAGGTCAGTATCAATTCTCTCAAATGAGCTGTGGTGTCGTCTCACGGCTGCATTCCTGTCGGCGCGGATCGGTAGGAGATGGGACGGACCCGACACGGAGAAGCGGGGCCGGTCGGCGGACGAAGGCAGGCCGACCATCGACTGGAATTCACGAATTAAAGGTGACACGAGCCAAGCGCAACTAGTCCCAGCCTTCTTGTTATCCGGCCATCCAAGATCCTTCGAATATCTGATCGTGACAGACTCATCACATCTTACTAGCACCTCCACAGCTAGCTGTTCGACTTGCCAAGGTCATTTACAACCCGTCCGAAGACGCCGCCGCCTCCTCGCCAGCCACAACTACCGTGCCATTCCGCGATGCACAGATCGGCAAACCTTCGCAGCGAATCGTACCGAGGTCTCGATACATCCGGCCAGCTGAATGAATCTTGGCAGCTCGATTCACCTCGTGAGGAGTAACCCTCCACTGAAAACAACCGCCATCATCATTGCAAGAGGAGCGATCTTCCCAAGAGACCTCGTCGCACGGCATCCCACATCTATCACAGTCCGATACGTGCGAAGCACAATCAAGTATCGCGAGATTTATATCCGGCGTCACTCTCCTAACCCATATCTGTCACAGTCAATGTTGTGATGGCTCCCAAACTGGAAGTGTCATGTTAATCCTCCCTTCGGGCATAGGCGCAACTGAGACACGAGGCTAACTCAATCAGTCCTCAAAGGCTCAGCCCATCCTTGCGGGGGAATGTTCGTGGAGACAACTGTACCCCGTATTCCCACTTGTTTGTGTTCCCGTGTGTCCCCGAACCCCAAAAGTGGCAGGCTGTCGTGGCGGTGGTGGTTGTCCCACCGCGGACTGGAATTCGGGATAGATGAGGCACCAAGACAACCCATCTGACCGCATTCCAGACGACAGCCATGTCAATTTCATACATCAACAACCAACGGTCCGCCGTTTTGCAAAGTCAGATGTTCTCTTCCTCCTGGCTGCTCACCCTCTGGTTCTCCCAAGTTCTAAGCCCGTCACACGGTACACGCGTAGACTGTAGACAGCAGACGTCCATACTCGCAAACCTCACCCAAGATACCACACAAGATACCACCCAAACCCTCACTAAAAGCCTCACAATGCGCATAAACACCCTCCTCGCCATCCTCGGCACAACAGCCCTCGCCGCCGCAGACGCACCAGCCGTAACACCCTTCCTCACACAACCAGGATCCCAACCAACAACCCTCGTCCCACAACCATCCTCCTCCTCCGCCGCCCCAGCAGTCCCCTTACCACCAGCATCCTCCGCAGCATCTCCCCTCTCTTCCTCGCCGCCATCCCCACCGTCATCAAACTCCTCCGCCTCCGCAGGCGCAGCAACCCTCTCAACAACCACGACATCCCGCCCCGGCGGAACCCGCACAATCTCCCTCGCCCCCGTAAAGACAAACATCTACCAAGAGTGCGGCGGCCTCAGACCCACGCCCAACCCGTGCCCCGCCAGCTTCGAGTGCATTGACGACCCCTTCCGCAAGGGCTGCGGCCTGGCGTGCGATCAGACCGGCATCTGCGTCGTGCCCATCATGTGCGGCGGCATCGCGGCCATCAAGTGCCCCGCTGGCAAGTGGTGCGTTGATGATCCAAGAGATGACTGTCACCCGCTTCAGGGGGGTGCCGATTGTGCTGGGCTTTGCGTTTGATTTCATGGGCGCGTGGAAAAGAGAAAGGGACGGAGAGAGAGATGGAATACCTAATCGTTGAAGAGATTGTTGAATTGTCATCTGGATAGGCGTTGTTGGGAGGACTGCTCTTCCGCATGGAACATTTTCTTTGTAATAGTCTGCTTGTTATGAAATAGTAGGTTATAATTCATACATACCTTTCACTACTGTGAGTCTCCAGAGGTTATCGTGAGGAAAAGGTGAAGGAAGGCTCGGTGAGCTCGACGAGGCCCGTGATGCTTTCCCGCAGACCCTCGGCGAGGACGGGAGGAAGTCGAGACCAAACAGGTTGTCAGAGACAAGAGGGAAACACCAAGGTCGACTGCCATCCCTCCAGGTGGTGTCAAGGAAGCCGCCATGTCTTCCAAGGTTTCCTGCCGTCCCGTGTCGACAGAGGGTTTTGCAGACCATCCATTGACCAAACCTTCCGTCTCGTCAAGAGCATCGGGTCATCTCCGTTGCCCAACTCGCTGTCATATCTACTCTCTCCATCTTTATGTTCATTGTTCTCAACCAAGTCAACCATTAGAAACAACGCATCAACAACATCCCGCTTAGACCATAAGACCTACCGCGAAAATGTGTATCAAAACGATATATCACTACGAGTGCGGTCACACGAAGGACTTCACGCCAGTCTGCAAACGGGCCTTTGACGACTGCCCGTTCGGAATCACCCCAACGAAATGCGCAAACCCCACCCTTGTCGAAAAGACAGTCCGGGACGTCTGTTCTGCCATGGCGTGCAAGTACGAGCAACAGGACAAGCGATGGATCTGCCACGTGTGCGATATGGATAACGAGGACTCCATGACGTGCGAGGGTCAAGATTGTGACCATGGCGTCTGCGCTGAGTGCCTTCCTTGTGAGTGATTCGTAAAGAGGGTATGGGGACACGAGCTGACTTTATTCGATAGGGGAGTCTTCCTTGGCGAACATCCCGCACAGAACTCCTGAGGAAATGGAACTGGCGGAGCTTCGAGCCATGGGGCGCGAGCCAGACAAACAATCTCAGTCAACCCTCCAGTCTCCGTTGTCTGTTCCGTCTCAGTCAACTGTCGAGACTCTGTCAACTCAGTTGACTGCTCCAACTCAACTGACTACACCGACTCAACTGACGGAGCCAACCCAGTTGGCTGAGCCCGCCAAACGCTCCGAGAACATGAAACCGCCAAGGTTCCGCTGCAAAGGTTGCCCCGTCTGCATAGTCCCGGACGCGCCATCGAGACCGCGACGACCCAAATCAAAGACGCCGCAGCCCAAACCTCCCAAGGTCCCGGTCTACGACTCCGGGGCGGGAGGCTGGGTCCGACGGCCTGATAGAAGAGGTAGGATAAGCCTTAGAAGGGAAGACACAAGTACCATGGGAGTCGGTGGAAGGCAGTCAAAGCTATTGGAAATGGTCGAGGAACTAAATGGTCAAAAAAACTAGATTAGACGAGGCTAGGCAAAAGGCCAGCCTCCCTATTCGCGTCTAGGGGAGGTTTCTCTCAAAAGTCTATCGGTCATGGCTCTATAGCGGTAGTAAAGTAAATACGCAAAAGAAGAAAGAGGACACAAGTAGCAGTCAATCAAACGGTTTATTTACCGCCTGAGAAAGACACGACGGCCCACTTGCCGCTCCAAGCCCACTTCCGTGAGCCGGAATCGCCGCCGCCGCCTTCGGTGGCGAGCAGCTTCTCGTCCTCGCCAGGCTGGAGGCCGACGACGACATCGGCCTTGCACGTGCGGAGGGCCAGGATGTTGAGGCCGGATCCGGGGCCGAGGTTCTTGAGGGCTTCCGTGAAGGGTGTGGCAGCATCCCAGTTGGCCTAGTTGTCATTAGCATCATAGCCACTTTGTTACGTAGAACGTGGATCTCACATCACCAGTCAGCTTGCGGTAGTTGAGATCACCCTTGAAGATGACAACTTCGCTGGCCTTGAGGTCCTCGTACAGCTCCTTGGCCTCCTCGGGCAATTGCCAAAAGGGGCCGGGGTGCGTCCAGTAGCGGTTGGGGCGGAGGATGAGCTGTCCCTCGGCGTGGAACTGGCTCCACTCCTGGAAGAGGAAAGCCAGGCTCTCCGAGTCCGCAGCCGAAAGAGGCTCGGGGGTCTTGCCTTGGAGCTCCTCCTCTTCGGAGGGTGTCTCGTAGAAGCGCTTAGGGCTGGCAATGGCGCTGAGGAGCTGGGCAAAGTCACCCGGGAGCACGTCGGATACGAACCAGGGGATGGACTTGGGGTGCAGGACGACGTTGGTGGCCAGGCCGGCAGACAAAAGGTACCCGGCGAGGATGAGGTCGACGTAGAGCTCGAAACCGGCGTTGTCGAGCACAATGTCGACGCGGCGCTCAGCCTTGCCCTCGGCCTTGGCCTTCTTCAGGAGCTCGTAGACGGCGGGGAGATCGTTGACGACAATGTTCTTCTCGGACGCCTTGCGAGCCTCGGAGCCCTGCAGCTTCTGGATATCTTCGTAGGTCAAGCTCGTCAGGAGGGAGAGGTCGGTGGCGTTACCCCAGAGGCAGATTTCGCACATTTCGGTGAAGAGCAGCTTCTCGGCGGCCTCGTCCTGGGCGGCGCCCTTGTTCTTGTGGAGCTGCTCGACTAGCTCCTTGTACTTTGACGCCAGCTCGACCACGGCGGGGCGGGAGGACCTGAATGTGCTCATCTTTTGGCGGGCAAAGACGTCGTAGTTCTTCCAGTGGGTGGACCGGGCAAAGTGCGTGCTGATGCGTCTGTTGCTGTTAGCACGTGTTTGCCAAGTGGTTTGCCATATGTAGCTTACCTGAAGAGGTAGCACTCGGTGTAAAGCCACGGCACGTTCAGCCATGTGGGAGAGCCAAGCTTCTTGAGCTCCTCGTTGTAGATGCTCACGTCGGGGTATCCATCGTCTTCGATCGGTCTGGTATGGAGAGTATAGTCAGCAACTATCGTACTGGAGGTGTCGATGGAGAGCCGTACGTCAAAGCGCGGTCGTGCTGAACCTCGTATTTGATCTTGGCAATCTCCTCGATGATCTTCTTGCCCTCGGCTTCCTTCTCGGCGTCCTTGGTCTGGGTGACGGATCGGTAGAGGTCGTCGATGGCTTGGGTCTGCAGGGTAGCTGTCAGCAAGACGTGAATTGTCAACAAGGATGCCAAGTACGCACAATAATGACGGGCCAGCGCTCGCGAGCAGTGACCCAGCCAAAGGAGGTCTTGTCGCCGGTCGAGTAGGGAGCTGTCAATTGCATGGTGATTAGCTTGGTGCGAGGTTTGTGGTGATGTCTGGAGGCACCAATGGCGGGGAACCATACCAGGCATCTTGGATCTGACGAAGGGATTGGGTATCGAGAGAGTCCAGCAGAGGTTGACCGAAAAGAAGATGCAATTCAGAGAGACTCAGAGAGAGGGAGAGAGAGAGGAAAGCAGCGAGATTATCAGATTATCTCGAGAGATTTTGTTTGCGACGACGTGTCTCATCTTTTTTGAGTGCCAAAACACCGACCGCCGAGTTTCTGTGACAAAACGGCAGCAGCTCCCCGCCATGGTGGGGCAGGGGCTGCGTGCACGGTTCTTTCCTTCCAGGTTAGCGCGGGGCACGTCCCCGATACAGAAATATCGAGCGAAATGACGTAAGCCCCTGGTTTCGGATAAACGTATTCACCTATCCATATCAATCACCTAAAAGCAGTAATTGCTTATCTCATCACATCCAGCTCCTGTTCACTCATCACCGTTCATTCTCATTTCTCATCTGACAAATCTCACCATCATCATGACCATTTGTTCTTGTTCATCATGTTCGGCTATATTGCTTACAGCATCCAAGTAAAGTAACGCAAACTTCCCGTCCAAACTCAATCATTCAACAAACTCTCCCTAGAATAGACATGGCAGGTGCCACGGCACGTGCCGCCCCTCGGTTCGCCCCCGTCGAGAATTGTCGCGACCGTTTCAGTCCTTGGTTCCAGACTCTTCAAAATGGGCCTTGTACGCGCCATCATCAAAGTTCATATCAAGTTGAGTTAAGCTATAGTCCGCATTGGCGATCGATATGTCAGGGCTCAAGATGGCCTCCTGTGAGGTGGTCTGGCACCAATACATTGGTGGAAAAAGCGCCATTCGCATGGATTTGCCTACAATGAGTAAAAAGCCCATGATGTTTTCTCTATTTGAGAAAGTTCAATGTGCACATCTTGACTCTGTCCGCTGATTGCACTGCGGTAGCCAGAACCAACAGCCGAGCCTTAAGTCAGTATCATTCAGTCAGTGACATATCGAGATGACAACTTTACCACCGTCAAGAGTATCAGTTCGCCCATTACAAGTTTCTCCTCTCCATGCATTTGCTTTCGCGCTGTCTTAGTCTGCGCTTCACGGAAGGACATCAATCAAATGTCATGAGACTCAAATGTTACAGCTAGTCACGGCTGTCTTTCGACATCTCGAGTTGTGAGAAAAGCACACCAAGTCGCGGGGCGCTCCAAGGCGTCTACTATCACTGGCTTTGGAACGAGAAATCCGATCAAAAACAACGCTATAAGAAAAGCTATATCATGGAATACTCATGTTCGCCAAATGCCATCATCGGTCGGCTGTAATGCTTTAATGTTGTCAAGTTGTCAACTAATCAATTACACCAAACCCCACAGAACCCCAGAACCCCAGAATTTACCCCGGCCTTTCCGAACGTCTCTCCAGCCTCAGAGGGAATATTGCGGGGGGTACAAGCCTCGCACTCCCTTCCACATGGGCTCTCTATTCATGCATGTCTATGCTGCATGTTGTATCTGGAGCCAAGTCTTGCTTGTCGGCCCCTGCGGGACTACCCGCCTTCAAAGGTTACCTTGCATGAGCAATGTCTCGACCACCTTCATCTCAACTGCCGTCGATGGGCCCTAGGAGTCACGGATACTCATCCTTGGGGGGCTGACGACCCAGCATTGCGGTTCTTCCACGTGTCAAACGCACTTCGGATGGCTGCCGATCTACACGTCCACTCTGTCGTAACCGTAGGATCAACCATCGCCGGAGGTCGCTTTTCTAATTTGACGTTGGGATTTGAGAAAAGCGTAAATTTCCTACTGCATGTCTCCAATTCGTCTATGTGGTTTCTGGACGATGTTTGACCAACCCCAGTCTTATAAATAATGGTAGTTGGGAATGTACGATCTATACACTATGTAGAGTTATCTTCCCACCCCTATGTCGTTCAAAACTCACAATATTCGATCATTTTCGCATGTGTTCTTTGCTAAGGTCGACGTGCCAAAATCGCAACATCGTGGCATACGGCGCAGGAGAACTTTAATCGAATCTACACCCCTTCGTCCAAACCACTCTACCCTCCGATAGAACTTTTCCCTACGCCGTGGAGGGTGAACAATACATAACGCGCAAGACCTTCCATTTTCTGGGGTTCCGTAGCAGCGATATAGCGATGGCAGAGAGCAGGCATGTGAACATCTGAAGTGAAGCAGTCTCAAGCCTCAAAAGTTGGCATGAGTTCAGAGGGCCGAGGGATTACACCTAGCAAATTGCAATGCTTGCTGGCACCATCGGTAGCATCTACGCTTTCCGTAAGAGATTGCCGAAAACACGATGCATCGAGTCAGGAACAGGTCGTCAACTCCGCTATTTTGCCTCGAACATCTCCCAAAAGACTCGGAAACCGACATCGTGGGGCGTTCATTATTGCTCTTCCGAATTCGCCCGCAGGTGGAAAACGGGTCCTGTCGTGCTCTCCACCAGCAATACCGGGATCTCATGCGCGAACCACGATGCATCGATGCCAATGTGAAGCGGTGACGAGTCTTTTGCAATGAGAAAATTTGATGCCATCAGGGGATCATGAACAGACGTTTGCCCAGTATCACAACTAAGGTATGGAGCTCACGTAATTAGTGTCGGCAACAAAAGCCGACTACCCAAGCATCGACGGAGAGAACACCGAGCTTTCACATTTCGCGATTCAATGACGCAAACTTCATCGGTCAAAGGCAACGGTATTTTGAACATCTCGGCCGGGCCCTGCCGACACGAAAATCCAACTGAAAGAGCGCATTGCAGAAGCGAATTCACTTGCAAAGGATCGCCTGCAGAAAATTCTGCTTTTGATTACAGGGACCAGTCAGAAACCAACCCCGCGGGCAAAGAGGTCGAGCACACGCGAACTAGCCTGCTAGGTAACGTTGCTGTGGGACTTCTTAGTCAAGCAGCAGCATGGCGCCGGGGATGGCATGACTCCTAACGTACAAGAGCCCGGGCTCAATAACCATAAAAGCAAAGTCTGGAAGCGTCGAGGAGTGGGCGAGTTGAGTAATAGCGCGGTCCCGGCATCGCTGCCAAGGGTGCGGCTCAATTTGACTTTTCTTTGGGGCCTCGACGAATATCCCGGTATGAGATCCGGTATGAGGGATGTTTTCTCATCCGGGAACCGTCAAATCAACGTGGCGACCATGTGGGCGGTCCAT